CGTACTCTACTATATATATATATATATATATATATATATATATATGTGTGTGTGTGTGTGTGTGTGTGTGTGTGTGTGTGTATGTATATATATAGGGTAAAAATATAAATCATGAGAGATTATGCTGACATGAGTAAGAAACTGTAGATGACCCGATGTCAGCTCTCCCGAGGGTGGGGTACCCCAGAGGGCATGCCCATATATATCCAAATAGATTTCATGAATACCGTTCTCCCTCACTCAACCATATGTCCTTTTTTTGGTTGGGGTGCAAACAGGTCCAATAACTTGCAACTGGCCTGCCTCCCAACTAAGTCCACTCCCATTACCAGCGTCAAATTCACCCGCCAAAACCTGCTTTTGGCTGCGGGGGCTTTCGACCCGCCCCGACAAAGTGCCACGTGAGCATTTAATGGTTTTGCTTATTCCGTCACGTGAGATTTTAGCGGGGCTATCCCCGGGGTAGGTGTGGTTTAAGTGTTGAAGCAATGGTAGCTCAGGCATTACCATGGGCAACCGACATGTGAAGGAGAAGCATTGTTCACAACCGGACAGCACAATACGTGCGTACTGAGACTAATGCTGTTAGTAGTATACCGGCGCCATTAGTTGTCCGAATCCGAGTCCTTGTCTGAAAGGAGGGAAATGATTGGATAAAAGTCGAGTACTCGCTCGAAAGGAGGGATGTGATTGGTTTAAAGTCGAGTACTCACTCGAAAGGAGGGATATATGATTGGTTAAAAGTCGGGTACTCACTCGAAAGGAGGAGAAGTGTGATTGGTTGGACGCCAACTACACTTTGAGTAGAGGGCCTTCGATCATCCGTCTGCGTGCTTGTGAGCCTTGTAAAAGGTTTGTTGGTGATCGTGCCCGTATGTGTATGTATGTGTATTGCAGGAGATACCTACCATTCCCACGGAATAAATAGGATGAGGATGGTTCCAGTCCCGACGTATACGTACGTACACCGCCTATTAGTGGGGAGAACCACGGAAGTGTGCGTTAGCACTCTGATGTGTTGTACCTACTGTCTGTGTAGATAGGCGAGCGATTGATGGTTCGGGTACGCTGACGTGTGCATCGACGATGGCCGTGTGGTGGCTACAGACACTGTACGGTAACGGTATTCAAATGTGTCATCACTATGGAGGGTTAGGGTAGTCCACTTTGGTTTGGCTCTATCTGTAGTCCACTTTGATATAGCTCCACCTGTAGTCCACTTTTTAGCCAGCGTCTTTTAGTCCCTGTGCGAGTGGCCTTCTGAGATAGGCCCAGCTCTCTCCGCCTCGTCTATGGTTGCACCTATACATGGTTAGGGTGAGTTGCTTATGTATATGTACCTACTTACCTATACCTACCTATACAGGAATAGGGTGAGTTGTTTATGCATATGTACCTACCTACCCACCTATCACGCCAATGGTATAGTCTGGACCTGTGTCGGCTGGTCTAAGTACAGTCCGTCTGCCTAGCGCTGTTCAGCAGCCGCGTAGTCCCATCAGCGACTGTAACACCTCAGATACGCTACGCACACACCCCAGATGTAGGGTTATAAGGTGTTAGGGCTTCGGCCTCTTCTTGTCACAGTCATGGCCCCCTGGCCGACGGGACAGGACAGCCCTAGTTTCTCTCTCCCGAGGACCGTCTAATTTCATAGGGTTTAGGGTTTTCTCTCTGTCTCCAGAGGACTCCTGTGATAGGGTTTACCACCGCGCCGCGCATACCCCCACCGTTGGGTTGGAGAGAGGTCTGCAGCCACTCACCCACTGTCTCGTACAAAAGGACTGGTCACACCCTCTGCACCACTACACACCACAACCACAGCACAACACTGCCCAGGGCAACCACAGTACGACGCACCTCGAAGCCACAGGCACAGTACAGGCACTACCTTAGCACCAAGTGCTGAACAACCCATGGGGGGAGTCCTCGGAGTCATAGGGGAGTGTCGACTGTACGGGGATTGGTGAACGAGCACATACACCATGGCTATACTATACATCTGTATCGGAGTCTGAATACGTTTAATCAGCAAGTGTGGGCAAGCACATACACCATGGCTATGTAGAGTCTGAATACGTTTAATCAGCAAGTGTGGTATGTACTGACACCATGGCTATGTATCTGAGTCTGAATACGTTTAATCAGCAAGTGTGGCATGTGCATACACCATGCATATGTATCTGAGTCTGAATACGTTTAATCAGTAAGTGTGGGCATGTAGAGTGCCCTGCACCTCTCTGTCTGGTTTGTGGGTGGGTTCTCGCAAACGCTGCGCACGCGCTGAGTGTCTGTGTTGACGTTCACGCACTTGTTGCATTACTACTGGAGGGTGTTGGTGCCGGAGGCTGAGACATGCGAGGGCTTGTGTTAATAAAACTGGTGTATTTTGAACATACTTCTCAATAAATCAGTAGATGACCGTGTTAATTAAACTGATGTATTTTAAACTTACTTCTCAATAAATCGATGGATGACCGTGTTAATAAAACTGGTGTATTTTAAACATACTTCTCAATAAATCGGTAGATGAACGCGGTTCGCTACCTACTGCTTGTGGATGCTGAATAGGGTTTCTCCTTTACACCCGTTTATGTACTTACACGCTTTTTTGTATCTACAGCCGTTTATGTACACACCTGTCTATGTACCTACACGCTTTTTTGTCCTACACGCTTTTTTGTACCTACACCCGTTTATGTACCTACACGCTTTATCCGTTTTGTGTTACAAAACCACCCATGGTAAGCCGCAGCATACACCCGATGATATTGTAGAACATCACTTTGCACCTGCATCTCCGGGCTGGTAGCGTTGTCTGCGAAATCCCTGGTAGGAAATGTTTTGTACCGGACTTTACACCCACCACCCAACCAACCTGTAAGTCACGTACGGTGTGTATTGTCATGAATCAGTGTATGGTCCGTTCGTTGTGAGGTCTATCATGTTCACGGCACAGTTGTCCATTTATCTGTAGGGTGTTTCCAATGAGCGTAGCCACTACTAGCACACACTACGCACTGAGTGGCTAAATACTGGGAACTTGTATGTTGCTGCATTAAGGGTTCGGTGGGTACATACCGATCGCTTCAACCTAGCTTGAGTTCAGGGTTTAGGATTTAAGGTTTAGTAGTGCGCGCAACTATTCGGATACACCTACATTCAGCTCAGTCTGTACCTCACAGCACTCGCATGCAGACTAGTAGACGAGGTGCACGGTCATGTTGCTAGTATGTAGCTAACATCGAAGGGTCACGCACAACACAGATGAACAACTTAGTCAGGGACTCTCCACTGCTTTTGGTTGTATATAACACGGAGCATCTCGTATCACTCACTTTCGTATGGATAAAGTAGGCGTGTAGGTGTGTCTTTGTGTGGTACTTCTTGGGACGTCTGTACTTCCCCTATTTTATATATAAACACGTGGGTGTATGTATAAGGTTTGATAATATACATTTATTTATACATCTGCATTTCCAACTGCAGCCGTGTCCGTTTATGCACGCACTGTGTCGTGATCGTGCCTCTCTACGCTATTACGAATTGATTCGAGGGTGTGTCGTAACGTTTAACGTTTATCTAGCTTTATTTCCTGTGTACTGTGTGCCCCACGATCAGTCTCCTGTGTGAAGTTCAGATCAAATGATTATTGACAGGAGTGAGTGAGTGTCTGTCCTAGGCTATACCCAACGCCTGCGGGTCTGTGTGCATTAAGAAAGACACTGTCACTTGGCCATTGAGTGTGTTCTGCTTAGTTACGCCAGCGACGTGTATCTCCGCACCTATCGGCTCTCGGGCTTTTCGTTCCAACGTAGCATAGTTTGTTTTAGGTTTGTAACATAGTTTGTTTTAGGTTTGTAACGTAGATTGTTTTAGGTTTGTAACATAGTTTGTTTTAGGTTTGTAACATAGTTTGTTTTAGGTTTGTAACATAGTTTGTTTTAGGTTTGTAACATAATAGTTTGTTTTAGGTTTGTAACATAGTTTGTTTTAGGTTTGTAACTTAGTTTGTTTTAGGTTTGTAACATTGTTTGTTTTAGGTTTGTAACATAGTTTGTTTTGGGTTTGTAACATAGTTTGTTTTAAGTTTGTAACATTGTTTGTTTTAGGTCTATAACATGTTTTAGGTTTGAGTTGTGTTTTGGGGTTGATGTAGTCGCGCAGTTACTTTACTGTGAGTGCCTGTTACGCCAGAGGTATATAGGTAGGCTTGCAAAGCTTCAGACATCCCAGTTCGATGGCATGTTCCGTTTTCTACCCCCTAAATCATATCTGGGGGGGTATCCAATAGCGCATTCTAAGGTGATTAGAGGCAGCGATTTATCAGGCATATAATAGTTGTGTACACCTGATACTTGGGGTGTTTTGTTTATTATAGACTCTCAGCAAAACACACACCCAAATCCCTTTCTAGGGATTTATGAACACTGTAAAATAATTTGAGAACAAACTGAAAGAATTTAATACCATTTTTTTTAAATAAATAAAAAGATTTTAAGAACATTTTAGGATATTTTATGTGAGTACACCACACCAAATCGCATAAACACACCGGTCGAACCAAGAGCGATTAAGTGGCTCAAGATCTGGGCATAGTCGAATTGGATCTGACCCGAAAAAGCAACATATAGCGATGACAAGTGAGAACTCCAATACGGGCATCTGGTATGCAACGTACAATCAAGGACAAGATGTCTGATATGAAACGTACACTCATGAACAAGATACTGCAGCGTCGAGATGTTCGTTAACCTCGTTCAGCGTGCGCGATAGGCTACCGGCCTTGACAGAATTCGCGCGCCTGAAGTCGGTATCATCACAGAGTTTAAGTTTCCATCCTGACTGCCAAATCACTACTGATTCAATCCAACTATTCTCGAGTTTGATCTTTACACCCGCACATACACACATACGAACCAATTGCCCATAGTCCTTCTGTAAGAATAATGTTATAGAAGGATAATCAACCATTCAATTGACACTACTGCTACTTTACAGTAGGTCAGAACCAAAAGATAGGATGTGGCGAGTGCAATATACTGCTTAGAACAAATACATGTGTATATATCATCCGTAACGTGTGAATCAGTGTATTTTATATAAAGATCCATCATAGTATGGATATCAAGTCTTAGTATGCATACATTACTTCCCATCAGCTCAGCTCCGTTCCCCTTCAGTAGTCCGTGTCCCTGCATATTCAATTCACACACCAAACTACCAACTACCCCAAAAGCGTGCCAACTGGCAACATCCATCGGTATCAGGCACCAAACTACCAACTACCCCAAAAGCGTGCCAACTGGCAACATCCATCGGTATCAGGCACCCAACTGTATCGCTTCGGCAATACCCATTTGCTCACGGCGGTCCGTGCGTGCAGTCTCACACGGGTGTATGCGTGCAGGTGGAAACATATACAAATCAATAACATTGGGAGAAACAAAGCAGATCAACTCACTTTGCGCTCTACCTATCACCAGCAGGCCGCACAGACGCTACACGCTTGCCTATACGTGGCCCAGCCCTCTCACACGCATCGGTCATTGCCAGTGTACCTGTCAACAACCGCCAGTAAGCGTGACTACGGTCTGGCCGGGAAATCAACCCGTCAATCGTTAGGTGACTAACCACACCCAGACACTTAACAGCGACAGTTAGTGTTGGGCTGTGCCTAACTTTCTACTCGGAATGGGCTCAGTCCTCACGTCTCCCACCTGTTCCTCCTTTTCTGAATCAAGACCAGGACCAGGACCAGAAATCAGGACCATCACCAGAAATCAGGAAGTCAGGACCATGACCAGAAATCAGGACCAGCACCAGAAATCAGGTCCATCACCAGAAATCAGGTCCATCACCAGAAATCAGGTCCAGGACCGGACCTGCTCGGTGTCTATATATATATATCGTGCCAATCGCGAGGCGTACAGCTACAAGACATCCGCTGTGTACTCTGTTTAACTTCTTAGGTTTCATAGTACTCGGGTGTCCTAAATCCCATTGTGAATGCACCCCCGTGTCCCGTGGCACAGAGTGATGATTCGTGACACCCCATAGAGCCCTTTTTTTTGGACTGGATGTCCTCACACTTTGCCCGTGTGTACCCACATCCCCGGCTGCAACCGTACTATACTCCTCCAGGAGCAGGCTTCCTCTAACGCACACTCAGGGGGCCAGCTACAGACTCGCCCTAAAGTATACAACTCCCCCCGTCTCATCATCGGTGGTAGGTACATCCCTCACTACCCACACTCATCCCAACACCCTTCCCGCGCCTCGTGCTCGCTCTCAGAGACCCTGAACCCTAAACCCTACTTCACACAGCCTCCTTCGGCTGCACATCCTCATCGGCGCGGATCACCTCTACATCCTCCGCTGAGACCACCCCCACACTGTCCCGGTGGTGGGGTACCATTGCTAGCTCGTTATCCGTAACCTTAATCTCCACATCGTCTCCCAGGTGCACACTGCCGTCTAGGATAGACCGAGCCAACGGGTTCATGACGTTCTTCTGCATCACCCGCCCCAGCGGCCTGGCGCCGTACACCGGGTCGTAGCCCTTGTCAGCCAGCCACTCCTTGGCTTCCCCAGAGACGGTCAATCGGATGTCCTTCTCGGTGAGTATCTGCGCTATCTCGCCCAGGCGCACGTCCACGATGTCGCTCATGTTGTCTCGTGACAGGCGATTGAACAGCACTATCTCGTCCAGACGGTTGATGAACTCAGGCGCGAGATGGGCGCGGACGTCTTCCATGACCTCGGCGTACGCCTGCTCGCTGTGTTCCTTCTCACTGACCTTCTCGAACGCCTGGGGCGGTAGGCTGGCCAGGCGTTTGGCCCCCAAGTTGCTGGTGAGGATGATGATGGTGTTGGTGAAGTCGACGGTGTGGCCTTGGCTGTCTGTGAGCACCCCGTCGTCCAGTACCTGCAGCAGCAGATTAGACACCTCTCGGTGCGCTTTCTCGAACTCGTCGAATAGGATCACACTGTATGGTTTGCGGCGCACAGCCTCCGTGAGTGTCCCTCCTTCTTCGTAGCCCACGTAACCTGGCGGGGCACCAATTAGACGACTCACGGAAAACTGTTCACACGGAAAGAATGGGACAGAGTGTGAGTGGAGAGGAGAGAAGAAGCACAGGCTGACGAGTAAGGGAAAGTGGACACTTGTGATCAGATGGGAGTACATACATACATAAATACATATATACATACATACATACATACATACATACATACATACATGCATGCAAGCAAGCATACATACATACATGCTTATGCAAGAACAAGCCAACTGTTTAGAGAAATAGGATACGCGACAGGTCGTTCACGTAGTTACACTCAAAGATCTTAAGGACAATTCCCGCGTGTACCATTGCCTTGAACCAGAACACCGAAGCACACTACATGAGACGTATCAGTATACGCAGAAACACGACTTCAAGCTAAAATACATAAACATAATATGAACGGATTGCTAAGAATAAACGAATTCGAGACCGTAGATCAAAGTACTTGTGCCAACACCTAAGGACGAGTATAAGCAGCTATACGTAGTATGAATGTGGTTTCGGCATACCTTCTCCATATACTCCGACATGTCTATCCGGATGAGCGACGACTCAACGTTGAACAAGTACTGAGCAAGCGCCTTACATAGTTCCGTTTTACCCACCTGAAGGATAAATTAATTAATAATAGTATTAGGGACAAGTTCCGGAGCTAAGTGACTTCCACAACATAACACCACCGAGACATCACCTGATACTCCATTCAAACCTGTCACGGAAGTAACGAAAAGAAAGGAACAACACAGTACCATTGGGCAGCGAGCACGAGTAGGTAAGCTACCCCTGGCGTATTAACATGCTAAGTTTGTTGGGTTCCCTGGCGTATAAACACGCTAGCTTGTAGAGTTCCCTGGCGTATAAACATGCTAAGTTTGTAGGGTTCAGCGCTTGCTGGCAGATTCACAGGTCGGGGGGTTTTGTCTCAACTTTTTATCACGCGCAGAAAATGGGCCGAACGGAACGTCTCTACGCGGCAATATAACACGAATCAATCCACCCACGACTCTGTCGACACATCCGCACACAAGCCACTAACCTTATGCATGCACTCTCGGACACAGATACAGGCCCGAACCCATGGATCGACTTTGCGAACCAGCCAAACTCAAGCATAGCATCACCAATCGCACTCACAGCCATGAGATGTCAATCACAGTCTTCCAGTACATCCTATATGATATTCGATAGAGATATACACACATGGCCAGCATACTACTGTAAGGCACATGAAACCCCTATACATGCACCTATAGAAACACACACATATATATATATAACATACTCCTGTAGGTCCCAGGAACAGGAACGAAGCAATGGGCCTATTCTGCGCGTTCAGACCCGCGCGGCTCAGTCGCACGGCATCGGCAATAGCACTCACAGCCGTATTCTGCCCCACCACACGCTTCTCCAACACATCCTCCATCACCAGAAGCTTCTCTCGGTCGCCCTTGACCAGGTTCTCGACCGGTATGCCGGTTGCCTTGGAAACCACGCGCGCGATGTCCTTCGACTCCACGGCGTCGCCTAGCAACGCGTTCTTGGGCGGGTTCTTGAGCAGATCCATCAGTTCCGGTATGACCTCGTACATCAGCTTGCCGGCCTTTGCAAAGTCGTTGCTGCGCTGTGCACGCTCCAGGTCCACACGGGCAATGTCTAGCTTCTCTCGTGCGTTCTTGCACTTGTCGATGAGCTCCTTCTCCTTCTGCCACTCGTTCTGTAGTGCCTCTGCCTCCTTACTTTTACTTGTGATCTCACTGTCCACCTCCTTGAGTCGCTTGAGTGAGTTGGCGTCCTTCTCGCGTTTCAACGCCTCCCGTTCAATC